AGTTGATTGGATCATCCCTTAAGCTGTCCCTAATCCACCCATCTACACCAATTTTCCCTAATTCTGACTACATTTTCACCAAAAATGCAGGCCTTTTTAACAATTGTTAGCGCAAAGTTGTATTGAACTTTTGACATCATTTAAACTGTAAAGGGGGAGAGTATTGTGAACCTACTTTTTGGTAATTTTTCGTGAAAAATATCAGTTTTTTCTGATATTATAAAGTGCTTAATACTAATATTATACAATAACAAAATAGAGGGCAACTCGGTGTCATAAATAATTTGTTTGTTACTCTGTTTCAAAAACTGGGATAATGACTTACTCAGTGTTATGGATTGCCTTAATCCTGTATTTTACCTTGTATTGTCTGTGAATAAAACAGTTGCGTCATAAACGTAAAGCTATTTATATACTGAATAGTTCTTTGTAATTACACGTACCTGGTTTTGAATATTCAACCTAGATTTTTGTTTGGGCAGGCTGAAATGAATAAGTGTGAAAATAGAATAAATTACAGGGTGAGGCAAAAAATGTCATCCAAAGAAATGTTGATAACGCATTCATTCAGTATGAGTTGAAATCATATTTGGTTAATTCTACCCTGTAAAAACGTTTTGCATTTTACAATGTTTCATGGGTCCATTTCTCATTGTCACAGTTCTATGGCCATTTTACAAAACAGGCAGACTTGCACCGGTCGGTTGAGGTTGCAAGTTCACGGTCACAGAAATCTTATGTAATCGCTCTCATTTTTCTCCAACTTCCTTATTTCAACTCTTTGATATGCTACTAGGTTTGTACGTGTTGACATTATCTTAATATAGCTCGTAGTCATGAGATGAGGCTGGCATTTTGGACCATGTTTCGTATTATAGCTATAAAATCCCGACCATTGGGGCAGGGCCAATGAAACTTAGTAAAATGATAGAACATAAAAAAGGTTTTATTATGCGGAATAACACTTAATCAGATGCAGAATTTGTTTGGGTTACATGTTTGGCTCACTCGGTATTAGACTGCACTTCGATAGTATTCATGATGTCATATGTTGGGTAACGGGCGATGATTTAACCTACTTTTAATGGCAAATACATTGTAATATGAATGAATATATAAGCACAAATGCCAAAAGGGAAAGGTGATTAAAAGGGTGACTTTAGGAAACCCAACAAGAAAAGCAAACTGTAAGTGTAAATCTGTCATAAGAAAAGTAGACCCTATATATCCCAAAACCATGATCTAACGTGAAAAGAAACAATGTCTAACATCCCCTCCCCCTCCAATCGAGAACCAATATCATAATCCAGGATCAGAACACCAAGGGATATTTCATTCATACTGAAGGCATTACAATACGTGTTGAAGAAAAAATTGAAAAATTGATAGCTAATACTCATGACATCAAAAATAGTAGTAGATACTTGTACTCATAAAAGAGTTTTCAGTCTCAAATGATGTTGGAAAGATAAAACCCAGTCACGAAGTCCATAGGCAATTCAAAGGGTCAACATCCGTTCGCAAAGCCATCATCATAATTCATAAAACACAACAATTCACAATGGTCATCAGGAGAAAACTATGGCTGGTTTCGATCCCTATTTCTCAACCATTAATGCCATAGCCGGGATCCACCTCAAAATGTACCAAGTGAATTCATTGCCATTGCCATTCGTTCCTACATCCTTCAGCATCTCAAGTGGTAAAATTTGAAATTTCAAAAAATTAATGACTTGTATTTTTCAGCAAAGCCCAGAAACGATTTTTAAGTTTTTTATAATTATAACCTTGTCCTAACAGCTTGGTCACTAAAATATGGTGTCTTGATTTGAAATCCTGCTATATCTAATAAGCTGGGATACATAAACCCCATGTGCTGGGTTTAGTGGCAGGTACTATTTATATTTAATGAGCCATAAAATAGTAAGTTGATCCGGCAGCTGTAAGTTGAATTCACGAATACTACTTATCACGGGCTTTCAAAGCCCCTGTTCAACTATGTAGTTTCTTCATCCTAGGTCAAATCCACCCAAGAATGCCCTTAATTACAATGGTGTTAGACAGGATGGACTCACAGCACCCCTATGCTTAATCATAATCTCGTCGATTGACCAACAGCAAATGTCAAGGGAAAAGTTGTAGGAAGGCAACGTATGAGTGCTCTTTATGTTCATAAGCTTACTACTACTTTTCCATAGGTATATGGCCTACAGATAAGTTAGGGATCCCTCATTTAAACCAAAACCTCTATTCCTTAATTATAGCCCCTAAAAGCAACAACCCCGAAGGAACCCAACGGCATTGAAGCGCCGATGGTGTGAATTTAGCTTAAGCATTGTATTTAATGCATACACGGTTCAAAAGCTGAATAAAAACAATGTATAATATCCAGTTAGGAAAGTCTCGTGATAATGATGTTTTAACTGAATTGTAAAATTGGGTAGACAAACGCTAATATTTGCAGAATCGATGAAAATTGCCGAGAAGGTGTTTTTTGACCGCCATGTCACATAAATGGTTATATCTTCAGCCAAGGTTGTTGAAAATTATTGTATTGTATATCATTTTGTTGCAAATTAAATTTCCTTTAAAATGATATCTCATCGTTGGTGTGTTTGTTAAAAATAAATGTTTATCAGGAAAATTGACTGGGGGTAGTTTTTTGGCCCACCCTGTGCAAATACTGGATGATCAGGAGTTGGATATGGCAGAATACCTATTCGAGAAACAAATCTTGGGCGAGGCGTAATAAGTGTGCTATGATGTCATTACATTTTTAGAAGATTTTTCTTAAAACTCGAACAAATTCCGTCTTGCTATACACCGAACCGAAAAGCGTTGTCTTGTCCCGGGATTTAATTTACATTTATTTGAGCCGTTCTTGCAGAATTATGCGGAATGTTTGAATGATAAGAGCAATTGTGATATTGATTTAAGTACACTTTTTCTCCTATTTGCCATCAGTTTCTGATGCTGGCTTTTAGTAGAGCTCGAGTTATTGAGAAATAAAACTCTTAAGTGTGGAATGTTGCAACAACATTGAAAAAAATATTGGTCGGTTGCAAAAAACTATTGGACTGATTCAAAAAGAATATTGGGCAGTTTTTAAAAAAGCCAGATATGGCCTAACTACCAGTAGTTTAGGACCAATCAGATTGTAGTATCTTGACAAGCTGCACAATAAATTATTTTATTGTGGTTTAATTCTATTATATATATAATATTTCCATCGCCCGCTTTTCAAATAATTGAATAGGCCTCAGTTGTAGTACCAAGCTTTCAACTTAATGTTTACGATATACAAAGTCACCTAAAGAATCTAATTAATGACGTAAGACTAGACCCGTACAACAGTAAAGTTTGTTTTGATATATTTTAACTTGGACACAATTCAATGATGCCACTTTGTAAAAATCGCAAAAAGAGCCATAAAGAGAAAAAAGATCGTTTTTCAATTCAGTTTTATTTTCATTTCTTTCTTTTTCTACGAATGGTATCAAATTTTAAAAGATTGTATCCAATAGAGCACGATAATGGGCTGAAAAAATCAAATGATTCTGTTCAGTGACCTTTCCTAAGCTCATACTTTTAGGGGTTTTTTCAGTCACATTTTTAGAAGGCTAAAAAGGTTATTTCATCATGTTTAGGGTCACTCTGACCATGTACATTGTGATCTTGGACAGGTAAATGATATGTGGAACTGTTAAATTGACTGGAGGTCAAAATAGAACTCTGTTATCTTGGCTCAAAAATGTCCAAAATGCAGCATGTTTTGTCACTTCCTGTTTGTCATTTCCTGTTAAGTACTACAGGGTGGTCAAAAAATGGAAACCCTTACACCATTTTCCTCATATGTTTTTCATTTTTAAAAATAACTCCCTGATATTTTGCACATTCGCACATCATTCAATTTCCTACCAGCTTACTTTATTTCATAACCATCGAATTAATAGTCACATAGTTACAGCACTTTAGAGAACATGCCCTAGTGGCCATTATAATTGCGCTGTCGGGCCACATGCTCTCATCGTCCAAAATGTCCCTGCCTGTGGGGATATGGCAAGTAAAAAGTGTATGAGAATGACCTCAGGACAATCACTAACCTCAAAAATGAGATCATCCGTATCATCAACCCATACATGTACCTGCTGAGGAATGCATTCGGCCCATGACAACTGTGCAGGTTTGCCTACAGCGCGATGATGGCCAAACTTGAAGCATGTTTTTCAAAGTGCTGTAAAATTGTAACTATCAGTCTGGTGGTCATGAAAGGTAGGGTGGTAGGAAATTAAATGATGTACAAAAATGACAAAGATATTAGGAAAATGCAGGGTTTCCATTTTCTGAAAACCCCGTACGAGAACTTAACATGTAAAAATTGTTTAAAAAATCTCCCAACATGAATTTCAATATAAATATCAAAATCTCCATAGTATTGATAATTAAAACATGTTAAGTAATAATTACGACGAGAAAATTTGATTAACGTAATGTAATAAAAAGTTTTGATACAGCAATATTTACATATAAACACAGGTTGTGTATCAAATTAAGCGTGACAGTTTAACGCACGGTGTAAGGTACAACACGAGGATGATGCAATTGGGCAATTTGACGTGTTCATCCTTTCCGAAAGATCTCGTCTAGTTTCTAGATATTAATATATGAATGTCTGTAACAACATCCTAGGCAGTGAACTTGACAGTGAATTTCATAGTTAAACCTATCAAGGACGTCTATCAAGGACGTCTATATCGAGAGATGTCGTTGAACCTATCAAACTCGAAATAAGGTACAGCATATAATGCGGCATTGTATGCGATTGAATGAAGAAGCATTAAATTGCTATGTTTTTGCAAGGAATTTTCAATTTTAAATGGAACAAGACCCTAATCTAAGATCACGGATTATCTATTACATAAATATTGCAGATTTCCATGTACAAAATGTATTGTTGAACATGTTATACCATTAACCATCAAAATAATATAGTTGTTACCCAACGATCAACTCTGACACAACTCTGGGGCATCGAATCAAAGTATATAAATGAACTCTCGTGATTAAGGATGAAGCAAGTAAGTAAAATTACGTTATTTTTATCAAAGATATATCTACTGGATCAAAAAATAAGTTGGATTTATAAAATCCGTTCAAGCTTGTCAAAAAACTGAAAGTAAATGTCTATATTTGACGATATGAGAATAAAGAATTTTAACAATATTATATATGGGATTATTCATGGAAAACTGTAAGAAAAGCAACATTTTACATTCAAATCGTACGGTTAACCATTCATGTCGCTATTATACAATCTAAATATCAAAATATCCAGTCAAATTCTGACACGTTTGAAATTGAAATATGCACATGGTTGTAGCTAGCCATGGGATAGGCCAAAAAATGTTAATGAAAAAAACATTTAGCTTAGAAATATACTTTTTAATGAAAAAATAAAAAAGAATCTGAGTATATACTGATTTTCCTACCCGGGAATACAAAAGCAGACTATAGTATTTATATTATTTTGCAAATGAAGCTATATTTAACAGGGGCGTAGGAAGGTGTAAATTCAACACTACGCCAAAAAAATCCCGCCAAAAATATGAAACAATTGTGTCAAATCTTCTTTATCAAAACGCCTATTTAATTGTCATTTTATGGCAATAGAGATTTTAAGCTTGCAATGTTTTCACAACCTAAATGTGAACGGAAATAGTTAAGCGATGTATTTGTATGGGCGATTGGTATACGTATAGGTTGGCGTTTCGATTTTACATGCAAGCTTAATATCCCTGATACCCTTTTTAATGTACTTAAAATGTTCGAATGATTTTCATCATTTAAAATCACCATGGAAAGCCGATCTTTTAAATCTCGACACAAATCATCCTCACTTTTCTTATGTCTCGAACGATAAAGACGATCGATTTCAAAATAACAATGAGAGATTTTTAATCATTTTCGAATAATTGAATTGAGATACATATTATTGTCTGATTCCATCGTGTATAGTACCGTGCAATACGACACGTACAGATTAAAGAATCTAGCTTGATCAATTGATTTAAAGAAACGCATTCGTGATCAATGATACAATTAATCCTAATGTCTGCAACCTTTTTTATAACACTAGTTCGCAAGACCAAAAAAAACTCCCACCACAAAGGTCAAATCGAGGTCAGCGTGACTTAGGGGGTGCCAAAAATGTTATATTTCATAAAAACAATAATCTATTATCTTTCAAATGAAATAAAAATCTAGGTAATAGCTTTTCTAGAACTGAAATCAATGGAACGCGTAATTGAATAATCAACATTTTCAAGTTATTTTTGTCATAAATTCATATTTCAAGAAGTACTACCAATAACAATCGGTGATTTAGTAAGAAAATAAATAATTGCTGACTTAACTATAATTTCTGTCTATGATTTTGCCTAGCAAAGGAATATAAATCGATATAGTGAAATTGAAAAATTGGGGGTAGGGGAGAATAAAAAATATACATCTAATTTAAAGAGGTTCATCATTATAATTAAACGATACCACAGTTTGCATAAACATTACGGAACATGCGCAAACAATTGCAAAGGTATTCATCAAGTAGTTTTTGATAAAAAAAAAACTGTTTTTCTCTCGTGAAGAGAACGAGAATCACGAATAATTGGCGAAATTTTATTTTAGTTTTGAAATCCATAAGATAGTCAGTCAATAGTGACTCGATTTCCATGAAATAAAGCATGTTGGTAAGAGAATTCAATCTGTCAATTGATTATTTGCCAAACAGAGCAATAATGATTACTTTGCATTTTCTACAGTATTAGAATTATAGAAACAAGGTATTAACTTTCAATATTTTATTTTTCAAAAAGTGTCATTTATCTGTGGCCAAGGTTAGAAAAATAACAGAAGCACAAAAATCATGCAAAAGAGTACTATTAAAAAATCGACCATATCATATGGTATCCACAAACATTTCTTTAGGCTAGTGTGCTCGAGATTACTTTTGCACAATACAATCACGCCCGGTGATCGTGAATATGGGACGGAGGGGGGAGCAGGCAATTTCTGCTAGGAAATTCAACAAATCTGGAAGATTTATTTTTTCAAGAAAAGGTTTACTATTGAATTGCTAAATGGATAGGCGCACGGTATGGTAGAATATGTTAGGTTTTCTGGGATTTTTTCTGAAACGATACGCATCTAAGGTATGAGATCTATTAAAAAAGGCGCAAGGCCATCAACAGGCACAAATCAACGTTTTTGCTATAAATCAAGCAACAATGGTCTGGACGACCTGTAAAAAATACTTGTAAGTGATGTTATCATAACTAAATTAATGTCATTGCTGAATTTATAAAATAAGTTTCCATATGTGAAATAAAAAATAATCGAAAATAATGAATTTGGGACGGAGGGGGGGGGGGGAGGGGACGGAGGGGGGGGAGCAATATGTATATAAGACATGATTAGAGATGTTTCGCGACTTTAAGTCCTTTTACTCCAAATGTCCCCATTTTTCAGTCTCCAGGGGTATATCATCCATTTTCTTACTAAGTTAATGAGTTCATTTTTCAAATACAAGAATTCGTGTGAAGTTGTTTCACTTTATAGAATTATTACTCCCCCCCCCCCTCCGTCCCCTCCCCCCTCCGTCCCATTTCAATTATTTTCGATTATCTTTTATTTTAGGTATGGAAACTTATTTTATAAATTCAGCAATGACATTAATTTAGTTATGATAACATCACTTACAAGTATTTATTACCGGTCGTGTAGTCCATTGTTGCTTGATTTATAGCAAAAACTTTGACTTTTGCACGTTGGTTGCGTTGCGCCTTTTTTAATAGATCTTATATCTTAAAAGAGTATCGGTTGAAAAATAATCCTAGAATACCTAACATATTTTATCATACCGTGCGCTTATTCAATTTGCAATTCAATCGTAAACTCTGTCTTGAAAAAATAATTTTACCAGATTTGTTGAATTTTCTAGCGGAAATTGCCTGCTCCCCCCCTCCGTCCCATTTTCACGATCACCGGGCGTGACAATAAGAAAATATGAATAAAGAACATAGGTAAATTAATAAGCCTTTTTATTCTCACCTTTCAACACTACGCACTGGCGTTTTGGCGTACATTGTTCCTACGCCACTGTTTAAGACGTAAAATCATTGCAAAGAGTATAACTTCCATCATTTAATGAAATACTTGTATACTTTAATGAAATACTTTATGACTTATCGTCATAAAGTAGAAACAAACAGACTTTGGAATAGGTTTCTAAGTTTAGACAATGATCGAATCACAAAGAAAATATTTTATGGAGCAAATCAAATGATTCAGTATGGATAAGACATGTCAGAATTTAGCTCAATTCTTGAAGTTGAAGATCTGCTGCTATTTTGTTTAAATATGCATTATAATAGATCGATTTGATGGTATGTGATATGAAACCAGTTTGTGACAATTTTGATTTTGAAGATAATCAAGTTATTATTACATACCAGGAATATCGATTTTATTGCTCTAGAGCTGTTCTGCAAGCGGTCTTTTGAAGATTGATAAATTAACATAGGAGTAATAGGACTCTATTTTCGAGGCCTGTTACTATTCACTGGGGCCACCTTTTAACACCATTTCGGATAGCAAAATATATATTCATTCATTCATGATACTTTAGAAAAACGTGCTTTATATATAGAATGTGCAATTGAACTGCTAACTGACTATATCCACAATATGATTTGATTAGCATTGATGGTTCCACGATATTGCTCAACTAACTAACTAACTAACTAACAACTATCAACAAACTAACTAACTAACTAATTAACTAAATAACTAACTAACTAACTAACTTGCTAACTAACCAGCCAACCAACCAACCAACTAACTAACTAACTAACTAACTAACTCAGTAGCTCACTTGCTCACTAACCAGCCAACCAACCAGCCAACCAACCAACCAACCAACTAACTAACTAACTAAATAACTAACTAACGAACTAATTAACTAACTAATCATAACAACATCGTTACTAATCATTACAACATCGTTATTTTCCAGGTGACATTGAACCCGTTTTATGGTTCGTCCCTCGTGGTGATTCTTTCTTTGGTTATCATAGGTTTATGCAGCACGGGTAAGAAACTGTTTTTATTTGAGTGAATTCTTTTTTTGATAACATGAGTTTTGTATAATAATTACATGAATATTAGATTCATTAGTGCCTTTGTATAAAGCGCTATCCTTTGCATTTCTATGCTCGTATTCGCGAATGCAACTTTATTCTGTCGGTCACCGAATTGACTACTATTTTATGACCAACTGATTTAAATATGAATGGAATAGTGGCAGGTGCTATTCATATTCGTGAGTTTCTAAAAGAATAGTAAGTTAATCCGGTAGCCGACAGGCATTAGTTGCATTCGTAAATACAAGCTGAGAGTACAAATCATTCTCCTCACACTGTATTTGATTTAAAGGATCGGTATCGATATGGCGAACTGAATTCAACATTGTTTTTCTCAGATCATTGAAAACATTCTGTAAAAAAACAAGGTCCTTTATGTAATGGTCACTGATTGACAACAATTCTTTAAAATATATTTCTTATACCAGTAACTGTTTTTGTTAACAATTTTTGATTTTTAGTGCAATTGTTTTTTTTGTTCCTTTCTACCAATTCTTGAGAATGAAATAAAATATCTTTCCGACCTTTGTTGGAACAAAATAGCATAACATTCTCTTAGACCTCTCAATATTTCAATATTATACAAGTAGTTATACAAAGGAAAATTTGGTTGATTTGATCTGGTTGAAAGCCCATGATTTGACAAAAAGTATTCAAAAAATGAAACGAAAAATCCCCAAAATAGAGAAATATCAAAGTACGAGTAAACATTTTCTTTATGTCGTTTTTCCAATGATGAGGTTCGGATAGATGTTTCGTTTCATTCCGAACATATGCTACCAAGAACAAAAGAAGTGTCTGGTGTGTTTTCTATAGCAATAAAGAGGAAAGTATATATATTTTTAATTAAACTGTTACCATTCAAAGGATGAACCCGAGATTGACGATGTGTAAAATTTTCAGAATTTTTTGATGACTGGTTTTAGAGAAACATGTGTTCAATTCAGTTCGCCATATCGATACCAATCCTTTGATATTTCAAGACAAATGTCTAGACGTGGCTCATATATTTAAAGATTTAAGCACCAGACCAAATGTTTTGTTTTTGACTGTTGGTTGCCATGAACCGTGACCAAACTGTCAAAGGAATATTTCACCCGCCAATCTAAAGACGTATTCAGACAGTATGCATCTATTACAAAATGCCTACTGAGGTAAAAAAAAGTATCATTTTCATTGTTCATCAAACTCACCCCATGCAGACAGATCACCTAAAAATACATTCGTATGATGCGAAACTCGACATTCACCGGGAAAGTAGAAACATTTTGTCACCCATGAACCATGCTTAAGGACAGTTACATTGAGCTCTACAAGTATGGAATAGCATGACGTCTTTATATATCGAGGTAACTCGTTCGAAAAGTGATGGTGGTGATCGAAATAACGATGTAAATATAAAACCGTAACATAAAATATTTTAGATTTCTTTGAAAAACTAAAAAATATACATCACATATCAAATTTTTCAAAGCAGAAAAACATGTATTAAAAGTAATACCAGCAGGTCAGAGTCCCCCTGGTTGCATTAACATTGGTCTCATACATGTCATTTAATTAATATTTGAAATACAACTATCCTTCAAACGTATGATCGGACATTAGTATGATGTTACTTTATTAATATTACATTGAAGTACATATTAATTTTTTTTCAATATTTATCAATATCATATTTACATGTGAGGTTAAACACTACTGCACTTCTGGGGGACCATGGGTTGGGGGTATACTGTGGAAAAGAGGTATAGGATAGGCAATAAAATTCTACAATGGAGGGCTGCTATGGGTCTTTTTAATGCAGGAATTGTTTCTCTTAAGAACCTGTGTAAAAATAAATGTGATTTGTCATTCAGGGCTCCATATAATTCAGGTACAATATTTATGATTTATATCCAAAGAACATGTGTAAGTTTCTATAGATTTATTATATATAACATATTTACAAAACTTTTTGGCATGGTGAGACGGCTATCTATCGATAAAAGGGGTTGCGTAATTATATACAAAAGAAACGATTACGTAACCATTGTATAATATTACGCAATAATATTACGCAATGAAAGCGCAAAATCCTGATTGTGCAAACTTATATAATCGAAATCTTTGGGACAAGAGCCCGACAAGACTGAAGAAATAGATAGTCGCCTCCAAGTCCAGGCCACCCGATACCCCCTATTAAGGGGGCGAAGGGGTGGCGGTGGGTAAGCGTCCGACTTCCCCAAGATGCGAAATTGAGACTGTGTAAACCAAACTACCACAGGACAGGCGGTATAGCTTAAAGATAAGTTATTGTCCTGGCCTAATTAGATCTGTCAACAGATTTTTAATTGAGAAGCTAGGATAGCCACCGTTCTCCGTGATGTAAACCAGATTTAACAAACTTGTTAAATCCCAATTTATATCCAAAGAACATGTGTAAGTTTCTATAGATTTATCATATATAACATATTTACAAAACTTTTTGGCATGGGGAGACGGCTATCTATCGATAAAAGGGGTTGCGTAATTATATACAAAAGAAACGATTACGTAACTATTGTATAATATTACGCAATAATATTACGCAATGAAAGCGCAAAATCCTGATTATGCAAACTTATATAATCGAAATCTTTGGGACAAGAGCCCAAAAACAAGTATACTCGTGAACGGAGTTTAAATAAAAAGCTCAAGTGAACGATAGGATACGCCGTTCCCCAAAGATTGATTGAATGAGGCCTGGTAAGGACGAAGTCAGTGTTGATATGACGTAGGTGTATGCATGCTAATACAAGAGCGTCGTAGGATAGGCATGTTACGCTTACGCGAACGATACGCGAAAGTACGCAACACAAAAGTCAGCACGACTTATCCACGATTGTAATTGTTGGGGCGCGGATAATGTGGTCCATCCTATAGGCACCTTCTACGCTGTAGCTCGGTGGAGAGAAAATTTGAATGGGACACCTCGTGGGCAGACGGTTTACCTCGTTGAGAACGTAGCCGAGATGGGCCATTCAGGAATACATCCCGCGTACCCGATTTATTCTCGTAGAGAACGGAGCCAAGGTGTATTGAAATAAGTGGTCGAAGACACTAGCGTGCATGACTTACCCCGTTGAGGGTGCATAGCCCCGGGTGCATAGCTTGGTGGCAGCATAGTCCGTCAGTTCGTCAAGAGGGGGACATGCTGCATATCCGTCAAAGTTATTAGATTCAAAGATTAGTAATTGGTTTACACATATACACATTAATTTGATTTAAAATAGAATATCCCTAGATAATAGTAAATATACAAATAGTTCGTGAGCAGTTATTAAAATGAAGTGCTAGATAAACAGTATCTGTACTTGATTAGTCATAGGCATAGGCCGATGAAAACATAATATGTCCAGCAGTGATTTGAACCATATGCTTTACCAACCAGGCGAGTCAGGGGATCGCATAGCACCTCTCTGTTATCGAGTAATGATTATGATGACACTTGACATTAGCTTAATGGTTTGGATAATTGAAAGGAACTGTCGGTGCTATATGCCCCTTATCGCCATGTGGTAGATCATTCCAACTCAAAGTCATTAGGTGGCAATCACTGGAACGAGTCCTATCTAAACACTTGTACATCAAGGAACGCTCCGACAGCTAATTACAGGGTGACCCAAAAAATGCAACCCTCCATTTCTTCTATAAAAGTTCTTAAATGGAGGCAAATTGCTCTGAGATTTGGCACACAAGGACTCCATTCAATTTGGGATCCTCTGGGAAAGTTTTAATAATCATAGTCTTATATTGATAGAGTTATGGTCGTTTCAAAATATGCTCCAGATGTCATCAATTTCGCTGAAAACAAATTTGCAATGTTCAAGGAAAACAGTTCATAACACGGATACATTCTTCCCATGGGTATGGCTCAAATTTTGCAGCCATTGCTTGTTGGGGTTCTGCAATTGCGGTAGGGTTATTTTCATACACATTATCCTTTAAATAACCCCATATATAGAATTCAGGGGCATTGAGATCAAGACTGTGGGATGACCATGGGTTCTCCGTCCTAGGAGAGATAATCTTCTCATAGAAATGACTAGTGACCCAGACTAATTGCTATCATTAGAAGTGAGGAGTAGCTCCATCCTTCTAGAACCACTGTTCTTGTCTATTGAAGCCTCTATGCCACTCTAGAACTGCCTAGAACCTCCTGGGAACGCCAATATTGCGCTGTGTGTTAACAGTAACAGTGTTGCCATTATCAACCTCAAACCAAAAGGGGCTGATGCTTTCATGTTTGGAAATTGGCAGCCCAAGCTGTGCATTTAACAGAATGAAAGGGCCTTTGAAGCACTTAATCTGGAATTTGTGATCCCAGAACACATTATTTCTTGAGTTTACATGTTCAGAAAGAAGGGAATGTGATTCATCCGAAAACCTAACATTGGAAATGGACGACATTTGGAGCATATTTTGGAACGAACATAACTCTATCAATATAAGACTATGATTATTGAATCTTTGCCAGAGGATCCCACATTGAATGAAGTCTTTGTGTGCCAAATTTCAGAGCAATTAACCTCCATTTAAGAAAAATATTGAAGAAACGGAGGGTTGCATTTTTTGGGTCACCCTGTAATTAGACGATGGACACTATTTTGAGCTGCTTTGATCGCTGAAAGTGGTGTCTTGATATATGTCCTAAAGCACCCACTGTTCCATCGTCCGAGGGTCCTGATCATTGAGTCCTCTATGTTTGCCTGGGAGCAGGAAGTTGCTATTCCTTGGCGAAATGAATGGCCTGCGTAAAGTATCGAATTAATTCCCAGGGCTGATAGCACATTCCTGACCGCGGTCACGAACATTGTTCTAGATAAGGGCAGCATATAGGGTGTTACAAAAAGAGGTGCGTCGTTCCTGGTTGTGATTATGATTCGCAGATAGTGCTGCATCGACTGAACTGCACAAGTATTATGGCCTCC